CGTCACCAGGATTGCATCGGATCCGTCGAATTCCTGTAGGATCCGGTAAAATTCAGTATTGGATCCGATAGGATTCGATGGGATCCGGTGGGATCCGAGTATGGGATTGTTCGACCTGGGTAAGGCACTGCACGTTATATAACGTTCAGTTGAATATTTACACTTCTCTATCAGTCATTCTTTGTGATGGATTCGCTGTCATTTCAACACGAGTTCAGTATCTAAAATGCAAAATAATTAAATTTAATCGATAACGTCCAATCATAAGCAATATCTTCGCATCAGGCATTTGAAAGTGCAACGTGTCCCTGGAGAGGTTAAACTAAATGTGTACTATGTACATATATGTGGTTACGTATACAACTATATAATCAAGACATGTGTCTATTCACAGACGAACGGACAGAGAAAAAAAGAGAAATAGATGTTTCACTACACGAACATGATCCCTCGAAATGTATGACAGTATGGAATTCGAAATGTGATAGGCCAATTGAAAACAAAAACAAACCTTGAGAATGTACTATCGTAAATTATTATGATGACCATGTTCGTAAACGGTACAACTTTATTTCAGTGACACTCTCGGTCTTGATCCCTCTAAACAGATCCATCTCGAAATTCAATGTCGTCGTGTTCTTTTAGCATTCTCACCTTCGCTACTTTCAACAATCGACTTCTGCCCATCGTTATCGACGAACAATTACTGTTCAATGACCATGGGACAATGCATTAAGACGATCTTTATCTATTCAAAGCCATTCTGGAGAAATATTCTAGTCGATCAAACTGATAAACAAGGACCCTGTTCAAATATATTCGAATCCAATTATCCCATTGCACTCATTGGGTTGGTATTAGGTGAAAGAGCTTCCTATTGGTGTAAACGTGATCAGAACGAACTAATCGAATCAATCATTGAACAATATTCAGTTCTTTACAATACGAATGAAAAACCGTTGCAAACATTCGTTCAATATTGGCCAAAAGAAAGTCTTAGTAAAGGCTGTTATGCTGCTGTTTATCCAGCAAGTCCATGCTCGACATGGAGAAATCGAACAAAAGCACTAGTCGACGGAAGGATTTGGTTAGCCAGCACAGAAATGGCTCTGGAATGGATTGGATACATTGAAGGTGCCATCGAAGCTGGTGAAAGATTTGCAGAAGAAATTCACCGGACATTTTGATCGTTTTTGATTATGAATATTTATTATCGACAAGTGTTTTCCGTTTATAGAACGATATTCCTCTAAGCAAAGGATCCAGTGATACACGGACTAATAGAAATAATCGGAAAAATCCTCGCTTGATTTGTTATTGGACTAGATGTATTCTCATTGGATTTTTTCGTAGTTGAATTTAATAAAGAAAAGAGAGCAAACGGAAATTATATAAGAAAACATGTTTCCAAGAGAATTTTCATGAGAATCAACAATGCGTTCGCCTTTCGCAAAAAAAACAACTGTCTTTGATCATGTAGAATAGAAGTGACGAAATAATTATGTTTAACCTAAATAAAGTGTATTTTTATGCTCTTCTCTTGCATTTCCGTAGTCATCTCTTAGAGACAGCTGATGCTCTTGGTCTCAATACCATACTTTGCTTACCAATATGCAAATAATCTTAAATGACAGTATAATTTCATGTTTGGCTTGTTTTTTGTATTTTGCTTGATTTATTTCCAATCTGAGTGAGGATAAAAGCATTGTCTTTGCCTTTTTCATACTATACAACTGATAAACGCAAGCGCATATATTCTTCAGATTTATACTTCAATGTGTATTTTCACTTTAACAGAATGTTTTAATGCTTGTGGATGATTACGAAATCGTGTGCTTTTGTACTTGAAATTGCAAATGACATGACAATATCTTTGTTGCTAAGCCAAATACATTTGTTTTCTTCCAAAATTTTTCCAGTTTCCAGAATTTTCCAGTGTTCTTCTTATATAACCTCACTCTCAACTATGACGAGGTGTGGAGTTTTTTCAAAATGATAGCCTTTGGAACTACATATTTTCAGTAAATTTGTCATGTTAAAAAGATGGATATATCCTTGCAATATAACTGAATCCTGAGATAAACAGTGGGCACTAAATGATCTTCCACCGTATGAAAAGCAATTATCTTATATGTCGTCCATGTAGTTAGACGTCAACGACATCGTATTTCCCACAACGTAAAATACAAAGAACGTAGACAAAAAAAGAATATAATCGAAATATAATATGTTCCCAGGACAGTGATTCCAGGTTCAGCCCGTACTTTTCGACACGGTCTACGATGCGACTTCAGAACAGAGTAAAATAACAAGGTGAAAGAGAGAGAGAGAGAGAAAGGGCGAAGAATGACAAATAGACGTTAAGAAAATGTAGTTTATATCGATAAACAGTTGTCAGTGCTAACTATCTCTTGGAATTCGTCGAGCGTCATGTTCTAAATGATAAGAAGATGATTTTTCGTAAAACTATTCCCTATTCCGTCAACCAAATCCACTAATCAATACGCGAATCTAATGTATTAATAACATCTCATAACAGTATCTTAATAAACGTTTTTATAGACAACAGTCATCATAGAACTAAAGGATTATTTTAAAAAATTATATCAATGTGAAGCTAACACGAAAAAACAAAGAATTGCGTAATAACTTTCTCGACAGATAAATCTCTTGCATAAAAATGAGTTTATCAGCTGCAGATACTTTTATTCCTAGGACGAATTTGGAAAAATTTTACCTAGATCTTTAAGAGACATGTACAGAGGGAAAAGTCTAAACAAAATTTCCCCCAATGTTTGTCCTACAGGGATGAAAGTGTCACTATTCAATACAGAACTTTATTATTCATCGGATGAACCCATTTGTGTAGAAACTTATACGCAATTCTTTGCTTCCTCGAGTTGTCTCCGTCGTACTAGCTTCTTATTAATGCTTGATGTACTCTTTATATCATAGATGGTATATTTATTAGAGAAAGAAAATGATTACATCAGTTTGTCTGGTACAGAATTCTATATACATATTCATGTCAGCTGACTGGAAAATATTCTAACTCGTTTACCTCATTTAATATTCATTTCAAACGAAAGTATTTAATTGAATCTAATTGTACTAATAAAGAGTATTTAATGAATAGGTATTGCTATATGCAAACATGTTTCTTGTTTCTCTTCTGATTTAAATAATTTATCGTTCCATATAGAGTACGAGGTATTGTGTAAATATTTGTTGGTACTATATAAGTCAAACTAGATAATCAACACAAAGACAAGAAGGAAAATACATCTTTTACTCATCATTTTTTCTTCTTCTTTGAAATGTATGTCTTTAGAATGAAAATAAAAATTAAATTTCAGGATATACTATTCTATAGAGCATGACTGTAAACTGATCTTTACACTTTTCTTGGATAACCAATTTTACTGCGAAGGTAGAATATCGTTCACCAACGTATCTAAGACAGCGTCTGTCAACCTCTCCCACTGTTTTCCATACATTATGGTTTTGTTTTTCACGCTGTTTTCCGGAATAAAAATGTTTGGATTTGAGTTGATATCATTAAAAAAAATAGTGGCAGCTATTTAGTCACTTTGAAATAAAAGACAAGAACAACGTGGAAAAAGAGCAGGTGCAATTAGCAGTTAATTGATTCAAGTTACTACGCTAAAAGTACTATTTCATCTAATTAATAGATTAGAGATTTAATCGAGCGATGCATAGTGCGATGTCAAAAAAAGTAGGAACTCATTTGAGAATATGTGGAATACTTTTTTCAAATGAAACTCTGTTGAGAATTGAAGATAGCAACAAAGGAGATAATGAATTTTCATCAAGTTTATTTATGATCGAAAAAGGTTTAAGCTGTGAAAGGAAAAGGGAGACGAATTTGTTTGATTAACATGAGGAAAAGAGAAAAAACAGCATCTTTTATTTATGACTTTTTGCTTTTTTTATTTGCTTTTTGAGCCTTTTCTTGAAGGCAGTCGATTACTTTTGTTGAAAGATCATTTTTGATTGGTCGAAGTAAAAACGATTTTAAACGACGAATACAACTCAGCACTTCGCTTGTTTTCCATTTCTTTTGATTCATTTCAGCGGGTGATAGTGAACCGCTTGTACCTAAACATGAATCACAGGTGCAAATAAATTCTCACGGGAAAATATTCTTTCTACCATCGACTGGAGTGGTGAACACTTGTTCGACGATGATAAACAGAAGGAGAAGATATGCTAAACGTTTGTCCATTTGTGTAAGAATGCAAAAGAATGCGTTATCATTCTGATCGAGCACTTGTCATGTCTGAATATATGTATAAAAGATAAGAATATCGTTATTCTTCATATAAATATCTTCGCCTCGAAATAGAATCTGCAAAAGAGATATCAGTGAAAAAAAGAACGTGCTAAAATGAAGTATATCGTATTATCAATTATTCTCGTGGGAACTTTCATTCAAACCGAAGGTTTTGTTGGCGGATTAAGACGCACGTAAGATTCATTTCGATCATCTGTCGTTGACAAAATTTTATTTTCTTCCTGCCAGATGTGAATGCAAAGCTGTATCTGATACAGTGCATTTTCCCTTTCACAAATGGAAAATTTCCAGCTGTATGTTTTGCTCATGTAATGATCCGGCAATGGCTAATTGTGAACAAGCTTGCCGAGATATGGTGAAAAATTACGCCTCGACAGGTTCGCTCTCTGTTGATGTTTATCCATGATTCATTATGTTTCTGTAGGTTGTGGAAAAACAATATCAGGTTCGAAGACGGTATATAAATATGACGCAGGTGGCTGTGGGAAAGCTGTTGGAAAAGAAGTGTATACATGTGCTTAATTATTCATTATAATATTTGTTCTTTTCTTTTTCGTTTGATTCTATTAAACAAGCAAGAAATCTATTTCCTTCATTTTCGCAGATTAACAGCATTGATTTAGAAATAAATGTAGAGCGTAAAAGGCTTGAAACAATCCGTTTTCTCACAAAAAGACTTTCTTCCGCTTCTGTCAAAAAGAATTAACCAATTTACACGGATTTCATCATCAAAAGCTATTCGTCATACAATCTCTTTTGACAATGTCACGGAACCAAAAAATATATACGTTCGCCTTTTTCCTTTTTTTCCCCTTTTTTTCTTCTTCTTCTCAGTTTTCTTTCTGCTATTTTCTTGTTTCTTTCTTATTCATCAATAAAGAGGAAAAAAACCAAGACTAACGATTGGGAATCGTTTTCATTACTTTAAAAACCAAACAGAGAATTTTATCATTAACAAGTAGGAAAATTGAACGTCATATTCGCCTTCTTTCATTTGATTTCTTCGAAACTTCTTTGATAAGATAAAAGCATCAATGAGAGAGAATGTGTCTTTTTAAGCATCTATCTCGATCTGTCATCTATCAACTTTGATTAGAAATCCACCCTTCAGATCTTCGTTTGTCTTGTATATGTCATCACCTATCATTAGGATAGTTTTTTTCTTCTTTGTCGTTGTCGTTTTGAAAGTAGTAGGAGCAAAAAGCAGAAAGAAAGAAGGAAAAAGAGAAGGTGTCTGATCTCATTCTCGCAGTCAACTGAATACTGACTGACGGGCTTTTTAATTGTTCGCTTTCTGTGTTTTCTCCCCCGTTCGATTAAAAAAAATGATGTTTGGTCGTAACGACGAAGATGATGTTGATGATCGTCATCATCATTGTCGTCGTTGAAAACACAATTAAAGCGGAAATGACAAGAAACCACTTGGATGATGATTTTCGTATTGATGTACGAGAAAATGTGACGAGAAATGCTCTCTTCTTCGCCTTTTTCTTTTTTTTCTTCTTCTCTTCCCTTCTCATTACTCGTCGTTGGCAATAAAGGAAAACACGACGATCAGTAGAGAGACTAAATGAGTGAATTCAGTTTACTTGATCGAACTCTGCTCATAAAAGTCGAATAATTGGACAAAAACCGTCACTTGGGGACTCGATTATCGATTTGAACAAAACTCTTTTCGTTTTAATTAAAAATATTACAAAACAATTGATACACATCTCGTGTTCATTTGTTAAATATATATTTCAATAAATGACATCTGTCTTTGGAGTATAGAAAAGTGCGTGACAAACAAGTGTCGGAAGTCAGCTGTTCTTTATCTTTACATTGTTAATCAAATCATTTTCTACGGTCGTTTTTCTTCTTCTTATGTGTACATATTTATCATTAATTTCATCGATAGAAATCAATAATTTTTACCTCATCTTTGTATCTGAAAAGAAAATANATTCTTCACAATTTGAATTAGTACTTGAATCCTACCCATTGATGAGACGAACAATGGAATCAGTTGCAGCTGAAAGACTTAATAAATTAGGAAAAAATCCATCAATAATCTCGACACGTCATGATTTAAAACGCGATGCAGCTGTATTAAAAAATATGATCGATCGGGCAACTCCACAACCATCAAGCGATTCATCATCGGATAGCGATGCATCATCGGACATGTCCAATGCACATAAGAAAACTGATTTTAAATCGTCATTATCGCATTTGCATGAAGAATTTAAGAAGTCATTTGTTGTTAATCGTTTAAGTACAGATCGACGAAAATCAACTTCGGAAGATAAGAAAATGAAAAATTTGAGTAAAGTTTATCTGACTGCGCCGAATTCCAATCAAAATCAAATTAAAAAGTCTCCGTCCACACCTATGGACATGAGTAACAAAACTCATCATTAAATTATTCTTTTTCTCTTTTTCAATTTATAAAAATTTTTTTTCAAAAAAAAACACAAGCAATAAAAAAAACCTCGATTGGCATTCTATTTTGAAGGGAAAAGAAATAATTGTTATTTTCCTTTCAGATAAATGTTAGAAAATTACCAGTATAGTGAAATACGTTTTGACATTGAGCAAGACGGAAGTTAAAGCGGAAACGGAATTGAGCTTCCGGATGATATTTTCTAAGAAATAAACAGCATGTCCCTTTTCATTATTGGACAGATAGAATTCAAGTAAGCGATTCAAGAATTTCTTGACGATTTTTTTCAATTAAACAACTTCGCCTGAGGAAATAGAAAAAAAATCCTTCAATCTATTAATTTGTTCAATAGAAGAAATCACTAAAGACTATTTGAACAAAAGATTTCATTCATTACTCATATTTCTTTTATTTATAGGAAAATAGTACTCGGATAAACATATTAATAGAATATCTACTTAACCATGAATGACTACCTTTCAAATTCAATATTCTTTTATCTTATGGAACGAGTTTCCAATGATTTTTCACTTTTTTATGTTTTACCAGGACATATAGTTGATTATTATTTGTATTTGTGTACAAAATCGAGATAACGAGGACTTGGTGCAATGATGCATTAACTGCACGATAAAAAATGACATTTGGCTGAGAATGATATTTAACGATCGAAGATCATTGCCGTTTAAGTGATGATTTTTATAAGTGTTGGTTGGGTTCATTGAAAGATACTTTTTCAATGGGAAAATCTTAATAATCGACATCAAAAAGAAGGTATTCAAGCGATGAGTATATTGATTGATGAAAGGATTATGATACTGGTAATTATGGGTGTGGATTCAGATTCTGTTGATTCTTCCTTTATAATCTGAAATGAACTTTGACCGTCTTAAAGATGAAAGTGACTATCATTTGCTGCTAATTGTAATGCTCAAATCGATAAATTGAATTTTCATTTGAGGTGATGGAGATAGAAGAAAATCTCCCGTAGTTTATCAACTTTGACATCTTGTCACCAATTGTTTAGTTCCGTTTCCGTGACACCCACGCTGCTCTTCAATATCTACGCCATGTAATCTGACAATTTCGAGAAAACAGAACAATACTAAACAAGCGTGTGAATTTGATTTGATTTCATTTAAATCGATTGATGTTTCTATTCCTTAAAATGCATCCTTTTAGAAATAATCAACATATGCTTTACATGAAAGAAGAAGAAGAAAAAACCTAAGATGTATATATATATATATCTTTCGTTTACTTCAGAATATCTAAACGATGTCTGTATGATACAAGATATGTTAAATAGATAAATCGAACGATAGACGTGATATTAAAAGCGTATGAATATACTAAAATACATGTCCTTTATGTGGACGAATAAAAAGAGGTCAGTCGTTAAGGTTGAGTGCACATTTGTTTTAGACTATGTTCTTTTTATTAGATTGAAACGAAAAACTCTACGAGATGAAAGCAATGTTGGTGATTTGTGTTTTTTTTTGTAAAAAGAGAGAAAAATTTCAAATAAAAGAAAATGTTCTAAAATTGCATAGGAGGTAAATATCCATAATTAGATGGAGACATTGGCTGCCATGGTGCTTGTTGATATTCATTTAATGGTTGTTGAAAGGGTGATCGGTTATTAGCTAATGGTAATGCATTATTCCAAGCAGGTGATAAATTCATTGCTGCCATTTGTCCGCCATTAAATGGATTAGCTGGAAACGCTCCTGGTGTAAATTTGCTCAAATCGAATGGTTGAATTGGATATCGAACTTGTGGAATTCCATTGGGCGGCATAATATTAGCTGCAGCTAGAACGTTTGGATTAATTGTGCCAACCATTGACGGGCTAAACACGTTCGGTGGTTGGTAAAATCCTTGCGAACTTGGACCATTTAGATTGGGATTAGCAGCACGCATCATTGGTGGTTGAGACATTGCACGTGTCGATGGTTCACCATGCTGTGAGCGGTGTTTTGATGATCGACGTCTTGTAGAACCTTGTGGAACATTATAATGACGTTCGTATTTACTAACTTTTTCCACTTTTTCGTTTTTTCCACTGTTGAATAAACCCATAACTGTATAGATTTCAACACTACTTGCTGTACTAGGTGACGAAGATTTATTATCAGAGGCCAGTCTTCTCTTCTGATCAAACTATCAAACTAAACAACACTCACCAACTTAAATGAATATCATTTCTTTCGCTCGCTTTCTTCTCTCTTTTTTCTCTCATTTGTTCATTTACGGTCTAATGAACACGAACATTTCTTTCGTCTTTCGTCGGTCTCTTTTTTTTTGGGTATCGGCCAATATCTTTTTCTCCATGTATGTTAAATTTCATCTCTCATTATTTATTGTGTTCAAAGTGAACATCATTTTATGAGAATTCAACCGTGACAATGAATATACCTTACGTCAATCATCTTCAATATGTATTCATTAGTCAAGCAAATAGAACGAACCATGTCTATCGTCAAATCATACAAATAAGAAAAAATCTCTCGTATAGCGATTTTTCAATGACAATATTCACTTTGACAAACTAACAATTATCAATTTAATATACAAACGTTCGTTTTCTGACAAGAGATCAAATTTTCCAGTCTGACCTTAGTTGACCTAGACAACGGAAAGGCCTAATATAACTTTTTCTTCATATTTTCTATGAATTGCGTATGTACAGTCAAGGGTAGAAGCTAACAGGCAACATACAAGATCTTATGCAGAGAAATACAGGTCACACATTAAGTTTATGCGTACGAAAAAGAAAGGACGTTGTAGGTTATTTAGTGCGATTTTAACCGTTAGAAAACAACAAATCGTGTGAACGGTAGAGGTCGACATGGGCTGGTTCATGAAATTCAGGTTGATCAATCTCTGATGATCACAAAATTCTTTAAATATTTCTACAGGATATGTTTAGAACAAAAAAAGGGCAACAGTAATTTTCTTTCTGCGATATTTCATTTGTCGACGTTGATGTTTTGTACTATCGTTAGCAAAGATTTAATATTCTCGTCTAAAATATGCTTGGCAGCAATGAATAGTAAATTCGGTTTCCTTTTTGTTGTGAAAGTATATTGAATAACACAATTTCTATAAAAGTGAAGAAAATTTATTTTTCTTCTGAAGTTGTTGATTTCTTTTTGTTGTTGTCAAAATCAATGTGAGTGGTTGCCATCGATAATTCTTTTTATTCTGGTTGTTATGGTTCATATTCTGCCGGTTTATTCCTTTTCTTTCTGTTTCTATCAATCATGTACTCATACAAATCAACAGGACGATAGAAAAAGAAGAAGTTATTTTTTGCTATAATTGTTAATAAGAAAACTAAAATTTGTGAAATCATGTCGTGGGAAATGGAATTAGATGAAAATATTCTCGAAGATCTATATCTCTGGATCGATAGTTTGCCTTTATCGCGACCAAAGAAGAGGATTGAACGAGATTTTGCTGACGGTAAATATAATTTGACCTGAAATTCTCATATTGCTTTTTTCAAATTTTTATTTTAGGTACCCTAGTAGCGGAAATTATTCGTTATTATCTACCAGATCTAGTTGAAATGCATAACTATACTCCCGCACATTCAATTCAACCGAAGAAAGCCAACTGGGGAATATTGAACAAAAAAGTTTTGTCGCACTTTGGACTTGATCTACCCGATGTAATTATAACTGGTCTTTCGAATGGAAAACCAGGACTTATCGAAGTTCTTCTTTATAACCTTCGAATGAAAATTGATGAAGAATTAGAATTACAGCAAAAAATGTATCATCGACAACAGCAGTATCCACAACAAATGATATCGCCACGACAATCTTCGCTTTCGCATTTAACATCGACCTCGAAAGCTAATCAAGTTCCTTTGATATCAACTAGATCAAATAAATCGACTACATCAAATAAACCCAATGCAACTTCTCACAAAGAAGTGTCTCGTCTTGAACATGAAGAAATCAAACAGCAATGCTTTCAACAACAAGAAGAAATTGAAATACTTCACGCAAAAATTCGTCGACTTGAACATGTTCTCCAACTTAAAGATATTCGAATTAGTGAACTATCTAAAGCTGTCGAGGATAGTAGACCAACAAGGCCAACTGCAGTTCAAAAAAAATAACTTCATCAGCTTTCTATTGAATGAGAACTACATTTTTAAAATAAATCATGGATTTCAATAAGGAAGCGCTGTAAAACTGATTATTGCAATGATAAAAACAAAGAAAACAACAAATGTGTTAAATGAATATTGAATTGAAAATATCATGGTAAGAAATGCTCATTCGTCTGAAACAATCTTGTCACATTTGACATCCATGAGAAGAGTTGCTTGAGGTGGAATAGCATCACCAGCACCAACATCTCCATAGGCGTACGATGGAGGTATAATTAGTTTTCTTTCTTCACCTTCACAAATACTTACAAAGGAAAAAATATATTAATCAAATAAAAGAAACGAGACAAATTTATCGAGACATACTCAAGTAAACCTTGTTCCCATCCTTGAATAGCTTGTCCATGGCCTATTTTAAAAACAAATGGGTGACCTCGATCGTATGATGAATCAAATTTCACTCCATTCGATTTTAACACTCCCTAAGAATGATCAAACAGATTCGTCTCTTTTATATTGTCAATTCAAATTGAACAAACCGTATATTGCATGTATAGAGTATCGCCAACTTTTGATCGTTTCGAACAATTCGGCGCTTTCTTCGTTGTCATGACTTGCAGTTTCTCTTGTGCAAATGATGACACATTTGCAAATAGATTCACGATGACTATGAATAAAACAATCAGAATTATTCGAGACTTCATCTAAAATATTATTCACAAACGATTGATAAAATATCCGCAATGATTACATCACATGAAGAGGTCAATGTACAAATCTTGCCCTGATCTTTTTTCTTTCTTCCAAAGAAAGAGAACATACATACAAACATCAGCCGATACTCATCTATCCATATATAGAACAATTCTTTTTCCTTTCCTCCCTCTCTCTTTTTGTCTTTCCTGCGAATTGTACATAGGAGAAGATTATTCCTTCGAGAAAGTGCACATAATGTTGTATGATAGCGTCATAGGCAATCTTTTTTATGGGATATGAAATCCGTTGATATGATTAACGCTTGTAATATCACAACAACAAATCAAATCGATTTCTTCAGTATTTTCTAATAGATGCATGTTTTAAAATCTCAAGTCGATGCCTATCGATATGGCCATTCATCAGAATCATGAAATTTTTCAGCTGTTTCTTTGATACTCGATTAAATATAGTATAGAAAGAATATTACTCATGTATATACATGCTGACATCTGATTAGAATCAATGCATATAAAATACTATTCAAAATAGAGTTCTCGGACATATCGGTTCAATAGACTGCGGTAATCACCCAATCAAAAGATTTCATCGATTCTTTAATTCTATCTTTTCTTTGTCACACCTATTTCGATCATATCATCTATTTTCGAAAACAACAATGAATATGGCGTCTAATCGTACAACGTCAAATAACAATCAACAAAGTGATGATGATGATGAGAAATTTCAAGTAAACAAGCGTCCGTGCATGAACGACGTTATAGCCATTAGGGCTGATGGTTGTAACTATAATGGATCATGTTTCTACTGCATTTGAAATCATTCCGATCTCGATTAACTCTTTAGATATGTTCAAAATTGCCAAAACAAATCAAACAAAAGATGATCGTTTTGTTATTAACGTGTTTCATAATAAACTTGATAAAAAGGCTGTGCATATCTTTCCTGAAGACATATTAGTAAACTTTGGTACGTTGGGGACGAACACACCTTTCATATTCAACGAAAAGAAAACAAAAGGCTTTGATACGGAAAATCAACGAAATTGGTGTTATCTGGTTTCTCTATCCGTAACACATCGGTTTTGATTTTTATTCTAGATATTAATTGTGATTCTCACATTCGAACAATCAACGAACTGCAAGTAAAAAATAACGTAAGTGTGTTTCTATCTGGAAACGGTCAGGAACTGATCGGATATTTCCTGTGCAATTCCGGCCGCAAGGAACCTGCCGAACTTGCTGGAATCGAGAAGAGCTGTACCGGAACCGACTCAGATTTCAACGGATCCAGTCGCCGGAATGATCGACCTGGGTAATTCTTTCTCATTGTTCTGGATGCGTATATCAAGAGATGACGAACACAGTTTCTTTTCAGTTGGTGCACAGTATGCAATTCACAATTCAATCAATGTTGGAAAAGATTATTCTTGTCGATGATCATTACCAACTACTTAATGAACTGGTCGGTAATAACTCAGTTGATACAAATAACATCGTTTCGTGTGTTATGGATCACATTTCGAACATACAAATCGAAAATCATCTCCAACAATTGACTAAAATGATCGCATTACAATGCTTTGACACGAAATCTTTGAGTGTCATCATTGATCAAATTGATTCGATGGTCAACAGCGAAGATGTCCCTTTGAAAAAGAAGTTCATTGGAAGATTGCTCAAAGAAACAAGTCAGAGGCATCTGTATTATTTGAAGAGCATAATGACATTGTTCTTTTGTATAGATTTTATTATCAGAGAAAAAATCTTCTTACTTATGATTCATTCATGGATGACTACATTCGCCTATGTGCAATGGTTATGTCATGGTGGTGTTGATATTTTTCTGTATCTTTGTGTGATGTAGTAACAAAAGAAATTTTTTTGCCATAAAAGATTAGTGTACTGGTTGCAGGAATTTTATTGAAACATGTTGGGAAGGAGATCCGTTGTTCCTTGTCACTTTTATTTGGAATTTAGTGTTCGAAGCAAAGAAAAAAAAGAGATTGTCATTATAGGATATTATCATAATCAGAAAAAACTGTCAACCTGTTTTCATAATTACCATAAGCCATTAGCAAGGGAAATCGTTAGCGAAAGAATTCTTTTTTTAAATAAAAACCAAAGAACAGGATTTTTTTGAATAAATTCATTTTACTTTAAGTTTGTTCGCCTAGCTGGCTTTAGTCTGTTGGTACTTATCGTGAACTTTTTTAAATAAGAGTGTATTATTGTCTTTTAATAGGATTTACGTCTATAAAAAGCAAACCGGGATCTTCGTTTATATTTGATGCTTAACTGATTTGGATTATGTTTTCTAAGAGAAGAAACCGACGCTTATCTAAACATCTGTTCTTGAGTATGAACAAAAACATAGAAAAAATGTGTTTCTCAGACGGAAGAAAAACGATTTCTATTTCGGATCAATGAAAGAAATTCAAAATTTGAAATTAGAGTCAATCTGTACAGATCTACAGAGTAGTTGTCTGCGAAAATGTATATATTTTCTGCCTTTTATTGACTGTTCATCCTTTCTGTTTCCGTGTTTTCTGAAGCTATTACCTTGTTGGTTGAATATTTCCACTCGAAACTCTTCTCATAAGGCAATTTTCTGCAAATAAACGAGATCACGAAACTTACGCGTACTTTCAAGTTTAAATCTAACCAGATTCAATAGATAAACACATATGTATGACTCCACACCTTTACGCACTTTAATTTTGTTCTTTACAATAAACATCAAAAGGCAATAAAAAGCGTTACTGTTTATTTCTATCAGATATTTAATCAATATCATTCAAAATAAGTTCAATTTCGGTTCGTTCAACGAGCGAATTAACTTCATCGAGATGTGTTTCCAAAGTTTGTGCATGAATAAGAAATACGATTAGTGCCAAGAGCCAGGATGTCAGCTTAAGAAATGTTTTCACCGATTGATCATGACCATATCTATAGAGAAGATATTTCCATACTATTTCCACATACATATTTTGAATCTCGAACACTTGATTTGTACTCGGAAAAACGGTTTTGATACTTGGAAAATACGAATGAACATCTTCGCCACAAGCAAACAGGGAGAACGCAAGTTTCGCTAAGACAACATCTGAGCCGACCAGGTTCGCTAACCACCTGTGTAAGTCTATTGTATGTTGTCCGTATCTGATTATTAACGAGTTTGAGAAAGCGCTAGAGCCAAACAAGTGATGATATTGCACAACAAAACTAAAGCTCATACAAGATATTTTATGAGCAGCATTTCGAAGTACTATCGTCCGATCGTCAAACGGCAATTTTGAAAAGTCATGATTCATACGAAGATATTTCTCTGTTGTTTTATAAGTGCATGATAGAAAGTCATCGATTAATGATTGGTAGTTTTCATTTGAATAGTCAGTTAAGTGATAGGTATCACATAAACGTTGACTTATCGAGAACATTTCGCATTCTTGGAAGGTATTCAATAAATTTGAAAGAAGTATCCATTGATTCGTGTCTAACAGCGATTGATCTGCGTCGAGAAGGTTTCTTGTTGGTAGCTGAATAAAAAGAAATATTGAAAATAATTTCTTCACAATATTTGTTTCTCATGGTTTACCTTCTGAACTTGAGGACTGATCAGGATCGATTTCTTTGGTCGACGTATTATTGGTGCTCGAAATTTGTCGGTAGTCATTCCACATCCACTGCACTTCTTCAATCGACATGCACCGCATACATGTCGAGTGTTGATATTGATTTCACATTGATCATTGAAATTACACGACGCTCTCATCTAAAGGAAATTCCTTTTTCGAATGAAATACAGAGGAAAAAAATGAACGAACTTTGTGATTATCAGCGTTTCGTTTGAAAAACATCTTACATGATTGACATGATACCACGCCATAATATGCATAAACTGCGGGAGCTCCACATATCCGACAATGATTGTTGAACGTTTGCATTTGAAAAATACTGTCCTAAATATTCAGACTCTCTTTGGGATATAATTGAAGAGAATTGACTAGCAAAGCTTCTTGTTGCTTCGGAGTGCAAGTCAAGGATTATAGCATAAAGGTAGTTTTTCGCTCAGCCTTATGTAGAACAAAGAGAGTTCCTTTGATTCTTTTCCTCTTATCACATGCGTTTTCTCTATTAGATCGGCCTTTTCTCTCATAGAAACGAAAAGAAAATAGTCTTTTTGACTTTCTTCTTTCTGTTCTTAGCACAAAGTGCATTTTCTATCATGCAGCATATTCTTTTCTTACTTGTAATACACGATGCATATATTATCATTTTTAGCGACATACATTAAAAAAGGAATACCTAATCGAGTGAATTCTTCGATGATTATTTGACTTTTCAAAGATTCATAGAAACTACTCACAGTCTGAACTCTCTTCTGATCGTTCGATTCATGCTAGAAGAGATCTTGACCGGCAATGTCGATGACGATGCTTTTCATTTGACATAGAAGACTAAGATTGTCTTTTCCGCTTCCAAAATATAAACACATGTTTTGTTTTCTTCTGAAGTTATAAATGTGATGACGGATTCTATGTGTAGACAATGTCGACTTCTTCAAAGTCATGGTGAATCGCATTGGGCATATGAGAGATGATATCTAGTTGACAGGACATCAAATGTTGAATCGATTCTAATGCAGTAAATCGATTGATACCCATGAAGTTATAGGAAAGAAGTGTCTACATTCACACTCGTCAGATGATTATTATACAGATTTACCAAAAAATCGAACAAATAAAGTATTGAGAGCTTCTTACAAGAACATGTTGCCATATTAGAGCTATTTACTAGCATTTAAAGAATTTCCATTAATAACCTTGAAGTATGATCATATTAACAGATGAATTTCCGACTTGAAACGACAAATTATGAAAGAGAAATAATGTCACAACCTACATTTACTCGATCACATATTTCTTTCTCTTTTCGAAGAAAAGAAACGAAAAATCAATTTAATTCATCGAGATATGAATGTATCGAATAAATCTTTCATGCATTCCTTTTTACATCACATGTATTCGCTCATTACTCGCGCAATAAGAAAACATTCGTCATAGATAATTATCGATAATAATTCGTTTTTTCTCTCTTACACAAACATGTACACGAAGTTTCGATCAGATTTATTTTTGTTGTGTAATAGTCTACGAACCTCTTCAGATATGTACGAATCGATTATTAAGAGGAAATTTCAAATGAATTGATCAAAATTTTTCTCATATCATGTGAAATTTTTGAAAATAATATTTTTCCTGATGGCCTTGATAAAGAGAGTGTTTTTGTAAATATGAGAGAGTGAGAGAGAGAACGCGCACATCTAATTTCGAATGATTACAGGATTGATATGAGGAAAATAAGAAAATATTTTTTCTGGTTCATTTCTAATAGCAGCGAATAACGTGGCCTTATAAATACCGATGAAAAAACATGCATATTTCAAAAGCGAAAATGAGTTCAGAGATCGATTATACGAAAGATTTTGCACGTGCTGACACCAACCATGATGGAGGTATTGATGAAAAGGAATTTCGCTCGTTTCTTGGCCCGGAGAATCAAACGAAAGACAAAGCAAGAGATTTAACTCAATACGACGTTCAGGCCTTTGCTGTAAGTAAGCCACGACTGCACTTTATTCTCTTTTTTTGAATCAAATTTTAGTCGTCACCAGTCGTTCAAACTTTAACATACGAAATTGGTCTTGATGTTGCTGTTGGTGGCTTCGTTAAAGATCCATACAGCTATGAAGCTTATACAACAGGTATAACGGACAGTAAAGATCACAAATATGGACTTGGTCCTGATGTTGGAATTGGCGCGCCAGATATTGCAAAAAAAATTGTTCAATACGATGCTGCTGGAGCAATGTTTCATTACGCTGACATGAATCACGATGGAAAAATCGATCAGTCTGAATTCGGATTTTTTATGCGTTCAGTTTAATTAAAACAAGAACTTTTATCAATATGTCTATGCACGTTTTCTTTTGTTTCACTTCTCTTCTTTTTAAAAATAAATTATTGTATTATTTCCAATATCAATAATAATTGATGATAATCTGGAAAAGACTCTTTTAAAATGTTTTTCTTTATTCGTTCTCCTCGAAAGACAATCATCGCGATATATTCAGACATCGCGTTAAAAATCATCATCGATTCGTCTAGCACATTATCGAATATACTCCCCGGTTGAATAATACCATTTCGATATTTTGTTCTCCTTCACATTTGTGAAGACGTAAGATATCGCTATCGATGTTAACGCTTTAGCAGATGAAATTGGATGTAGTTTTGAAGATGACAAAAACAAATATTCGATAAGTTCACTGAAGTCTTCTTCTAATGTTGGATGAATATTCTTTGAGACGCTGCTAATTTTAAGGCGTTGAGTTTGAACGAGTTTAACAGCAGCTGTATTTTCACTCGACAGGAATCGGATTGCGTCGGATCATCGAGTGCCGATGGATCGAATCCAACACAAGATCCTATATCGCTCTGACTGGTCCGGAAATGAACAGCCTGACCATAAACATTTACTATAGTAATTAATTCCCAGATTCTTTGAAGTAGATTAATAAACTCTACTTTGAACTTCAAACTTCAGTTCCAATATCAAATTCATTGAAGTCGAAATAAAAAAATCAATAGTGCAATCGTTATACTTTTATTAGTAACTGAATGACTTGAGGGTGGCAACTTTCATTGAACAAAGACAACACAGTAAGCGAATGAAAAAGCTGAATAAGTAAATATCGATATACGTAAACAGGTTCATAACAATAGTTATTAATCATCTTCTTTTAAACATTGTCTTTGGTTTCGATGTTTTCAAGGACGATCGATCCTGTTGATTCATATACACCTACAAATATATGGAGATAAATATCATTCTCATCATCGGTATGCTAGAAAAAAGTATCATACGCGATTCAGAGCGTCGAGCAGTTCATCCATCTTGTCAGGAAATCTACTAATTGGATCATAGTATGTCGATCTAATTTCTTCCATTTGATACAAGTCATTTGAATTACCAATACCTGAGGTAGAAAAAAACTATTCTCCTTCGCTAGCAAACGTCTATTGATTCATACCAATCCATGTTCGTAACTTGCCAGTCATAAATGAAAATATATGTTGGTCATGGCTTGCCTGTGTTTTACCCATATCTCGCACCACTCGAAAACTATCATTGACAATTGTCAAAAACATACTCATACAGACAAACACAACGATCAGAATAAATAAACTAAAGCAGAATGGACCAAGGAATGCTGCTGCACCACTCAATTCATGCGCATCGAATTTCATTAAGGTGATTTCGAATAACATTCGTACTGTTTGCAGAACACTAGAACATGACGATAATTTGGACACAAACAGCAGATAGAATAGAATAACAAATGCCATGAAGACAATTGTGAACATGAATGCAAATGAGATGAGTTCTCTGGCGGCATATTGAAGTGTTCTTGCAAATAACATGAGACGATGATTGAAACGACATAGTTTGATAAACTTGATCGTGCCAAAGAAACAAGAAAATGCGAGCAAATAAGTGAAGACATCATTGATGTATACAGCTAGTTGCAAGTTGATGTACACGTAACCATTGGTTTGTTCGAAGAGATGACCGATACGAAGTGATTCGCAATATCTCCATACGTAAATACCGACATTTGTCCATGAACAGACAATGATGCCTAGATTAATCAATGACCAGAACTGATGGAAGTAGTCAGATTTGAGTTTCGTGAATGATCGAATTTCGCCTATCATCATATGAACGATAAATATCATGTAAAAGATTGTACAGATCAGTTGAGACAACGAAGTGAAGACTACAAAGAACAGAAAAATCGTATGAAATCGATTTCGAATACTCATACCTTGGAAACTGATCGGTTCAAAACGAGATTGTGGATCGAGACTGCCAACCGAGAGATATTCAGTTAGAAGAGTGGCAAATGTAAAGAGTTGTACATTGGGATTGTAGAGAGTGAATTGAATAATGACGGCTCTTGTTTGACTATCAATCCATTGTAGTTGATGGAGTCGAGAGAGATTTGTTTGGAGATCACTGAGTCGACCACGAAATTCATAGACATATCCATCACCACCGTATGTGTGATGATTACCAACAACGGAATAGGTATCGAGTTGATCTTCTGTTCGATATATAAATGCTTGTTCAACGGCTGAACTAAATGGTTGAGATTGATTGTTAATTTGTTGATAGGGAATCCATCCTGGTTGAAATGATTCCTTCTCTTTATTGGAAAAACTATAATCGTCACTGCAATGTGTGAACAATTGTTGAATGGATGATTTGAGCTGGCATGAGTGTGATTTGACTCTGAGTTGTCTCATTGTAACCCAGCCAATCAAGCGATTCGATTTGTCGTTGATAAAACCAGAGAGATTTCGAGGTGGATCAGTATTGTACCATTGTTGTGCACGAATATTGTTCGCAAAACTATTTTGTAGCCAGTTCCAATATTGATCGACCGTGGATACTTGTGTATAATCATTATTAACTTGTTTCGTGTTATGAAAGAATTGCCGAAGGTGTCGAACTTCATAGAATGCGTGTTGATTGATGTTGGAATAGGTGATGACATAGAGTAAGGCAAGAAAGGTGAGATAAGTGAAGATCTCACGTATGATTGACCACATTTGTATTTCCTTCAGTCGTCGATCGCGTATGTAGGCAAGTTCAGCTTGATCGAGACGATCTGCTCGAGTTTTCGATCGGTGAACGAATGGTGATTGAGTGTTGAGAGAATGTAAATATTGTTCATCGTTGTTGAGTTGAGGATGATTCTCATCATCATCAATGAATTCAGCTGCTTGTTGATCATTGTTTGTGTTTCGTATGAATAAAGCAAAGATGATCGCTACGCCAATGATCTAAGAAATTCGAGATTGCATTCAGATGAGTAGCTAAAATGAGAACTTACTTTGGCTGGTTGAATGAGAAAGATGGATGAAAAGAAACTAGTGAGAAGCGATGTCAACCATTTCTGAGTTTTCACGTCACCAAATTCTATCCCACGAACAATAACGAAGAACATCGATACTGCAACGATACTAAATGAAAGCGCATAAGCTATGAACAGACACCACCATGGAAACGTCATTCGTGATCGTTTCTTTCGGTTTGTCTCAGTTATCGCGTCACTTGGATTGATCTTGTAGATAGCTTGCCGTAAAGGAGACAGTTGCTGTTGCAACCGTTTAGGTTCGATGCGACGAAAGAATTGAACGAGCAAAATACTCGGAAGAAACGAGAGCAGTTCAACAATGACACCAATGCTAATCTAAATGAAAAGGTACAGAATATCACGTATGTGATGGGTAATGAAGTCAACAAGGAAAAACCGAGTCACCTGTTCAGGAGTGATATGAAGCGGGCCAAAGGCAAGACTTGCTGTATTGACACTTGCTTTAGCTGCTGCAACTTGGTCGTAGTAAAGAATATTGAGAAGCATCGAAGTTAACAATAGTACAAAACAACAAGTGCATCGTTGAACACGAGTGAACCGATTCGAAGGTGGTCGTGAAAAGATCGAAAACCAGAGATGACCCTCTGCCACGCTATGGTATGCCTGCTTGGATAGCAGATAGGAGAACTCTTGTCGTTGATGTTCACCTGCGACTGGTAATACCCGTTCGATCTACAGAAATTCAACAAAAGATGAATTACGTGCCACAAGAACAATTCTATAACTCTCACCATTCCATCATCTTTTTCGACCGCTAACCATCGTTGACAAATGAAATATGACTTGTCTAACGTTTGCAGATCTCTAACAATCACATATTTGAGAAACCACGATGCTGATGCACCTTTGCCAGAGTTATCATGCCAAATATGTATATAGTTTAATGGTCCCAACGATCTAAATCAGATATTTTTATCTGTACAGAGAAGAATAAGTGTGGGCATACTTGGGAACAGTCATAACAAATGCATCGATACCACCTCGTTGCAAGATCTTTCGGTGTGGATCAGCTAATGTTCGAACTTGTGTTTCATCATCGTCACCAGCAAGGATGAAATGAACCTGCTCGTCATTTGTATAAATATCAATCGTATCTCTCTAAGAGGAAGAAAATCAGTCTTACTTTGGAGTTGGTATTCGAATATGCCCGATGACCGGTAAAGATAAGTATTTGATAGAAATACTGATCGGATGGTTGATTATCAGGAAGTGGAGTAACACCGAGCTTTTCGAGATCTTTCTTGTCTTTGTAGCGTGCATAAACAAGTAAAAGGAGATAGAGAATAGACACACAAATAAGTGTGATGTAGATAGTTTTATTGCGAGTGAAGTCGGCGTTGGAAAACACATAGTTCCAGTTGATAGGTGCAGGAAGAACAAGGAATCCTCCTGCAAACGTTGTTAAATGTGTGGATAAACACTGTGTTTGCTGATGATTAGTCAACGGTCCAACCTAAATGAGACAGAAACATGCTCATACATATGTGATAGAAATGTCATGGTAGAAACATACAAGTACACCTTCTGATTGCCAGTTGCTATTTGTATCGAGATAGTAACATCCTGATGTGAAGGTACGCAGTTCGTAGTTGGACGTGAAAATGAACGATTGATTACTGACAGGCGGTTGTTGAAGTGTTACAGACGTATTGGAACACTGATCTGATTGCTCAGTTGTATTCAGTTGTCTCAAGCCAAAGATAATGGATTGATGACCTTTAGTTCGGTTATTATCGATAAAGTAATTGTAAACAGTATCATTGGTCAGATCTACATTGTGAAAGATAAGCGATGGCATTAATGAAGATGAATAGAGAGGTGACTTACTATGTGGACAAAACAAAGACCAACCATCGATTTGTTGATGTGAACTGTTCAGGATGGGTGCAGTGTCGAATCGATAAATAAATAAATAGGCGAGACTTGTGTTGAGAGGATGCATTTCTAAATGAACTGAAACAGTGAAGGAAGGATTGGTGATGTTGACGAAATGAAGATTAAACAGTTGCTGATGAGGTGACGCCGTTGATGAATTAAATGACGTGACATTTTGCAGTGACATCGGTGGAACAACTAAGAATGAATCACGAGGAATAATAAGTTCGATGGGATGATCAAAGGTAGTCTGGATGGGAATAGATTTGCCATTCGTATCGAGAATTGAAAATGAAATAGATCTGGACAGATTTGTTCGAGATTGAGAAGAAACATTGCCGGCTGATGCAAGTGGTTCGATCATTGACTGACAAGAAGAATGCAAGTAAGTGGCAGAAGAGAATCGAGAGGGAGACTTACTCGAAGTGAAATGGTTTGGGTGTTTGTTGTGTTGAATTGAAAAGTAGATGGCATACGAATCTGAGAAGTGGATGTCTGTTTGATGGATTTGTTGACAAGTGTATCGATCGAAGTGGTTTCAAGTGATAAACACATGGACGGTGTGTTAATGTCGAGATTTTGGCCAATGTTTAAATGAATATTCAATGATGCTGTCAGCAGCGACATCGTTTGTGTTTTCAAAAGAGAGATTTCATTGGCTGCTTGTTTTTGGTAGTAGAGATTGCGGTTCTTTTCAAGTGAATCCCCCAATTGACCATTTACGCCGAGTAGAGAAAGCTGTCTTGGATTATTCCATTCTGATTCAAGATCTGTATCGTAATCTTGAGGAAAAGCATTCGCTCGAGACGAATCGAGATCAAGTACAGTTGTCCGTTGTTGTAGTGGACCATTGACAGCCTCAAAGGAGAGTTAGATGAGTAATTTTATGGTCGAAGAGAATTATCTTACATTGAGAGCATTGCTAGCACATTGTGCAATGAGCGTGGTTGATGCCTGCACATCTTCGAAGGGAATTTTCATTGCCAAAGAATGTAAAGTGACTGCAAGTTGATAACATTTTTGTGCTGCAATCGTCTACAGATCGAGAATGTCAGTTGAGAAAAGAGTAGAGATAATGTTACCGCAGTGGATCGCGTAAGTTGATTGGTTGCTTGAGTAAGCTGAGCTAAGGATGATGCTTGTAGTTGGATAACAGGTGCCGTTGCTGGTTGCAGATTAGTTGTAAACGTAATTAGTAAGTCTCGGACACTTGCATATGTGTTGAGTTGTTTGTTGAACTCGTCGAGTGCCGATGCATTTGTTCCGGACGATGACTACAAAGGAAGAATGATCTTTTCTTTGCTATGAAAGACCAACACTTACTGTTGGTTGACTGGTACTATCTAAGGTTGAAACAGCAATGTTAGATGCAGGAACACCATCTAAAAGCAAGTCTCTTTGATTTTGTACCCGTCCTTCTACATTTGTTCAAAGCTCACTTGCAACAGCATTCTCTACAGTTTCGCCGTTGATTCTGTTGAATTCCTGTGATAATGAACTGATCACTTGGCCCACAGTATTTTGACTACCACTTGCTAGAATTTGAACGATTGGATTGTTTGTCAGTCCACGTGTGTTACTTGATTGTTGCGCACTATTGACAAAATCAGCGATCTGTGTAGTATCGGAGTCAACTGTGACTGTTGACATGTTGTAGTCTGTGACACAACTCATTCTATCTCGAATTTGAACGGAAATACGGAGAAATGATGAAATATTCTTATTGACAGCTGGCAATCTTAATTGAATGGATGACAATGATGAGTAGCCAAGAATCGTTCGTTCATTCGGATCTGTTGTCCAACCTTTGGGAATGAAGATCATATTTTTCTGTGTCGATGAAATGAGGTGACATACTGTAGAATGAATAATCTTGAATACCATCGTCATCTATCCATTGAGAACAAGTGATCGTGAAGAGAGTGGATGTTGTACCATTAAGTGGAGATATGGTACATGAACCATTTTGAGGTGGTGTGTTCACTTTGAAGTTCATTGCACTGAAACTGATCTGTTGCGAAAACGAATAGACTACTTCGAATCGCCAAAATTGAATTGAAGGTTGCGCGAGAAACAAGTTGTTGGTGGCAGTGAAATTACTTGTGTTAGAGCCTTTGAAAGAACGAATGAATGAATTCAGGGAGAAGAAGTGAAGGCGAATTACCAAAGAACCATATATTTTGGTATTTCTGTGTTTGTCCGAAAAGTGTCCATTCCATGACATTGGTGGATGCGTTGATGATTCCGTGATAGACATTCCATGTGATGTTGTTGATCGACATGCATGTACCGACACAAAGAGAGAAGAGAGCAACTTGTGTAGTCGGATTGACAAATTGATATTGTTGATTAGGAACGCACAGAGTAGAGATGACACAACTAGAGAAACGACTTAGTTGTCAGAGAACATGATGGAAATGAAAGAGAGCTCACGAAATGGCAATCAGTTCGGGCTGGCTGTCTTCAGTTTGCACAAGAAGATAACCTGTTGCTTGTGTAGATGAATTGAGACGATTTTCGAGTTGAACCATGAACTGATATGTTTCATTGGATGTGAGCGCATTGGGGAGAAGGGTTAGTGAAGACATGCGTGAAGACGTAGGCCCAGTGTAGTTTAGTTTTGATGTATTACCTGATCGTTGCGATACGCACGATGGATTGACAGTATCGACTTGTGGATCATCAATAGTGAGAAGATTTCCAGCAATGTTCGGGAAGTTGTATTTATTATAGATTCGACAAAAATATTTGTATTTCCAATTCTAATTCGATAGGAAAGAGAGTGAAGAAGTGAAAGTGCAAGAGAGTTGACATACGGTAGCATTGAACGTCAGGGCATCCGGATCGACTGAAAACGCTCCAGGATCAAGAGTGAGCTGTTGTTGATATCCTCGTGTGATCATTGAAGTGCCGAATTGAATGAGATTCGGTGTGATGCCGGATGGAATAATTTTGACGTATGCAGAGCTCGATGACGAAAGATGATAAGAAGCAATCATAGTAACACTGAGTGTGAACTGATAAGTTCCATAGGTGAGTGTTTTGCCAGGAATGAATAGTTCGGTTGAAGTCGTGACAAGTGTTTGCGGCAGTTGAATGGGAATAGAAGAGCAGGCTGAAGTACAGTTGGTGATGGTCCATTTTATAGTCGTTGAAAGTGAAAGACTACAATTCAGTTGTAGATATGAACTAATGGAAAAGTCTTGACTTCGTCGATACTGTAATGGGGACGAGAGTGAAGAAGTACTTGGAATCAGTGTGATAAACGGTGAAAAGCAATCTACAAATGTAGGATATAGTAGGTGCGATGCTATTCAAAATGGAAGAGCCGAATAGCATACTTGTATTAGACGATGGCAATGAGGGTGTTAAAGACGTATCGGCAGTGGTGGATGTTGATGTTTCTATCAAAATGAATTAATAGTAGGTTTTACTTAGATTTGGCAAGAAAGGGATAAAAAAAAAGTTACTTATATTAGGAAAGACAATTAGACAACAATAGTAGCGACTAACGATGCACTTCCTAACAGAATCCTTGTGGCTAGTTTATGATCTTGTGTATGATATGAGTATGTGTCTCTGCATTTTATGCTCAAACGATACACAATAAAGGTGCTTAGTCATCGATTGTGCGAAGGAAAATGTGCCTAAACTTACCGCACAAACTTTTTTCTAAAGTGAATAGCTGGATTCGAGAGTTTCCACAGTCAGAAACATAAATATTTCCGTTACTATCGAATGCCATGTACCAAGGATTATTTAATTTATCGGATGCTGATCCAGAACTGCCAGAACACCCAGCAATACATTGAAAACCATCTGGTCCTGAGCCAATTATACGGCTATCACAGGAATCAACAATAAACAAATAGTCATCATTATCTAAGACGATATCCGTGGGGCAATTTAATGTGATCGTTCCTAGCGCACCAGAGCCAGCAACGGTTGTCGCGTTCTTTTGTCCTGATTGAAAAAGCTGAACTCTGCGGTTTCCATAGTCAGCCACATAAAGATCAAAATCTGCGTTGACAAATATACCTCTCGGTATTGCCAGTTCATATGATGTTGATCCACTGCAACCTGTACCAGCAACAGTTCTTAATGAACTGGACATATCACTAAGTGATTTAGCTACGACTTCATTAAAAGTGGATATAGAGCAATAGAGGATATTGTTACTGTCGATAAAAAGATCAAAACAGGATTGTGGAACGTCCATTACTGGAATAGCATTTGATGTATTCATTGGCCATTTGCTGATCTGACCGTAACGACCACCATTATCAACATAAATGTCTCCAGAACCGGTGACAAAAAAACCATAAGAAACACTTTGAGATTGAGATATATTTTTCGACATTGTAATATTTCCTTTCAGCCACATATGGAGAATCCCATAGTTTTGGTCGATGGTATAAATTGTGTCGTTCGTGTCGACAAATACATTCCATGGATACATTACAAATGTACTACGGTTAACAAATGTAGTTGCATTTACAGTCCACGAAGCATTTACACAAAGTTTCGGTCGATTATAAGATATACCTGCAGTGAAGGAAAGTGAATGAGAGCTATTGCAACACTAGCTGGATGTATCGATAAGATTTCGTGTGAAGAAGAAACAAATGCCTACCTGTTTTATGAGAAATGGATTGCATGTTTGTTGTATTGACTAATAGAGTAACAGTAATAAAGTGACAATAAAAAGTAACAGATGCAATTTTACTTACTGGTACCAACAGATGGTGTCGATGTTTGGTATGCGACAGTCGTAGCGTCTAAATCAACACAGAAAAAGATATCGTATAAAATCAGTCACTTATTTATTTCAGATATGTCTTCTCTCAGATTCTATTAAGTGACATATGGTAATGCTTTTTATCACAGTATAAGCTTCGAACTCACCACATGAGTTGGTAGCCAGACTAAATTTCTGGATGCGGTTATTGTTACTATCAGCAACAAAAATATTTCCATATATATCAAAAGCCATAGTCCATGAATAAGACAGTTGATTAGCCGCTGAACCACTCGAACCAGTGCATCCAACTACACATCGAAAGCCGTGAGAACTGGATCCTACGATACGATAATTGTTGTAATCTACGATATATATGTATCCATCAGCGTCAGCCATCACATCTATAGGGTAATATAATGTGATTGTTGCAGGTGCCCCCCAACCGGCAATTGTCGTTGTATTTCCGGCTCCCGAACGAAAAAGTTGAACTCGATGATTTTGGGAATCAGCCACATATAGACTGTAATTTTTATCAACAAATATTCCCCTGGGATAATATAGGCTATTACCCAAAAATCCAAAGCACTTACTACCTGCAACAATTGCTGTTTGATTATCACTACTATTCAATGATCGTTTGATGACTATATGGTTATTAGATAAGGAACAGTAAAGTGAATTGTTCTTGTCAATAAAAAGACTATAGCATGTTCCACCCGTATATAATGACGATTGATTGCCTGTTTGATTTAGCAGCCAACTGGTCACGTAATTGTTATTGTCACCTACATAAATAGTACCATTGTCTGTAGCAAACAGAGTTATTGGATAACTATTATTTCGAATAGCAATTGTTTTTGGAAGCGAAGAGTCGTTGATCCATACTTGAATAGAACTCATTTGTCGATTGGCCACGTAGATCTTATTGTTTTGATCAATAAAGACTGCATATGGATACGAACCAATCGTACTACTGGTTGCAAAGGTAGTTGCAGTTGCATTCCATGTTGCAGCAGGGCAAAGCTTGGGCTGATTAACAGATGTGCCTATTCGAGGAAAATGAATACGTGTAAAAGCTCAATTGGAAACATTACCTTCGACTCGTCTATCAACCAGCAGAATGATGATGCTCAAAAAGAAACTATCAAGTGGTAACATCTTATTGCAACTCCGACTTGATCTGTGTGATGTTGCAAGCGAATCTGATAAGAAAAGTACGGAAATGACAAATTTCCACTTGCTGCATAAATATCAATGTTTTTCTTTATAGAAGTTAAAAATTTTCAATCGAACAAAGAATGAGAAAGATAAATTTACACCTATCGTTCGATGTACCGTCTGCAACCAACGCAAACATCTTAGATCGATAGAATCAGTAAATAAAATCAAAGATTCTCTGACGTCAATCATTCACGAAGAAATTAAAAAAACATCCGAGAAGAGAAAGTCAACTTTTAAAAGTTTTTACGAAAGATGTTTGACGATAGTTCCGATGTTAGCATATTCATTTTTAATGATATCTGATTGGAAAACGATCTTGGAAAATCTCGGAGAAAAGAATAGAATGAAAGGCAAACAATTTCACTTCTAAAACATCGACTTTGCGCAGTTCTTCGATTTATTAAAATATGTCGAACTATATATGTTTTTCACAACCACTAAAAATCCCACTGTTCCCTGTTTCCCTCTAGAAATGATCTCAAGCTGTATTTGTTCAACCTTTTGTTTCGTTCAATGTTGTTTCTGATTTGTTGGCGAACGTCATCATTCGTCATAATATTACGAAGATCAAGTCGAATGAGTTTCTATGTAGAGAAAACAGTATGGAAAGCTAGAGCATTTTTCGGACAGACGAAGAATGGAAGTTACCAGATTGTTGCATAGAGCATCGGCTAGCCGGTGTGCTCCGTGGTGACCAAAAGGATTCGACCCGATCAAGAATGTGTTAAGCGTCTACAAGAGGAAATTGTAGATTGATGAACGAAAGGAAGGATGAAGTACCGTATTCATATGTAATGCATCAGCTAAATGTTGTGCTCCGACATCTGTGATTTGATTTCCTCCAAGATTTAGCTTTTCAAGTGTCTTTTTTTATAGAAACATCAGACGAGAGATTGACATAGAGAAAATGTTGTATACCATGTTCTTTCGAAGTACCTCAGCGAAGTGCTGTGCTCCTATATCTTGGATTTGACAATTTCTCAGATCTAGAGTAGTGAGTGTCTATATGGGCAGATGACATTTGGTACTTCATGAATATGTGCAAGAGAGTAAGTATTACTTTGTTATACAATAGTGCCCGAGCCAGAGATACTGCTCCGTCATCTCCGATTTTTTCGTTGGATAAAGATAGAACAGTAAGTGTCTACATTGGAAGAGTGTGAGAGAATATGAGAAATGTGAAGACAAACATTACTCTGTTGATATGTAAAGTATTAGCCAAATATTGTGCTTCGAGATCGCCTACGCCATTTTCTTCGAAATGAAGTCGAAGAAGTGTCTACATGTACAAAAACAGTTAGTTTAATGCAGAACAGAGCGAATCAATGATGAAACTCACTGTATTTTCGTGTAAAGCATCAGCCAAATATTGAATACCGACAGTTCCAAACTGATTATTTGCAGGATCAAATATCTCAAGTGTCTGTTCGACAAATGTGGATGATAAATGGAACGGACAATAACACTTACTCGATTCTGTCGTAGAGCATTGGCTAGATATTGTATTCCATCAACTCCGATTTCGTTGGTTTGTAAGTCCAACAAAGTGAGGGTCTATGTGGAAAGAAATTAATAATGGTACACAATAGGCGGTAAAAAAAGCGTCAAGTACTGTGTTACTGAGCAAAGCATTGGCCAAGTGCTGTGATCCAACATCTTCCACAAAGTTATTCTTCAGGTATAATTTACTGAGCTTCTATACAAAGTCACGCAGTAGTAAATGTACAACGTATGACAAATGGAGAAGAATTACCGTGTTATCACTTATCAATAGATCAGCGAGGTATTGTGTTCCCTTAACTCGAATATCAGCATTTGTCAGATCTAGTACCGTCAATGTCTACATGAATAAAATCGAGATAATAGTATGGAACGGAATGACTGACTGTGTTATTTTGTAGGGCTTCAGTCAAATATTTGACTCCATCATCTGCGACTAGATTAAAGCCGAGGTATAGTTCAGCAAGAACCTATTTGGAAGAGAATATCATTTAGGATACAAAAGATAATATGAGAGTTACTGTATTGTTTTGTAATGCGTCAGCTATGTACCGTATTCCGTCAGTTTCAATACTGTTCTTCCTAAGGTTTAATAAAGTGAGGTTCTATCGAGAAAATGATCAACAAAAGCAAATAATGGGTTTTAAGAATTAGTACTGCGCTATCGTTTAATACATTCGCCAGATATTGTGCTCCCGTACATGTGATATTATTACTTTCCAGATATAGTGCAATGATGGTCTACGCAAGAGAAGAGTACAGATAATTACAATGTCACAGGTTAATAAGATAAAGGAAATACTTTATTTTTGTGTAATGCTTCGGCTAGGTCCTGAACTCCGACATCCGTGATTACGTTTTCAGTGAGATCCAATGTAGTGAGTGTCTATTCAAAGAATGAGTACTGCGATACGAGATACCTGGCATTATGTACTGTGTTATTTTCTAACGCATTAGCAAGATATTTTGCTCCCGTATCTCCAATTCGATTATCTTGCAGCTTGAGGATCGTAAGCACCTGTAAGTAAAGTTATCAACATATCTTGACTCAGAATGAATATTACTTTGTTCTGGCGCAAGGCATTACTTAGATGCTGTGCATCAACATCGTCAAGACTATTACTTGCGAGTCGTAGAAAAGTCAGCGTCTACATTAAAATATATGGATTATGGTATCACATGCATGGAGACGTAATGTGAAGTACCTTGTTATTATGTAATGCAGTAGCCAGATGAATGAATCCAGCTGTTGTGAAGTCATTACTATCGAGACATAGTGTGGTGATAACGGTCTATATAAAATAGTGCACTTCATTTGTCAAATTACGTGTAGAGAGAATAAAATTTACCTGGTTGCTATTGAAGATACCAGCCAACTTTTCAATTCCTGTGTTTCTTATATTATTATATGCAAGATCTAATAGAGTAATGCTCTATGAAGAAAATGCTGATGATCACGCGAAGCAAATAATGAAAAATACGTTTACTGTATTGTGTCTCAATGCAACAGCTAAGCGTTGTGCTTGAATATCGTCGAGGTTACTACCGAAAAAATCTAGTGTGATGACAGACTATAAACAAGAAAATGGCAACTAAGTGCATTTTACGTTCTTTTCTAAACATGGCAAGTCGAAGAGAATAAAAACGACAACGACAAAAAGCACATGTTTGCAAACGTACATATTTCGATGTTAGATATGACTTCAAATTGCAGTAAGAGATATTTCAAAGAACTTTACCTGGTATTGATAGTAGCCATTGACGATGATGTCCAGACGTTGACAAACATTTCTCATTGAGCATAGAATAGTGTATTCGTCTTGATGATCAAGAATTCTGTAGACGAGCTCGACTGGCAGCGTAAGAAGAGAAACGCCAATTCGATTCGACATTACGAAGAAAACTGTTAAAGTGTGTGGTAATTCTGTTCCTTTTAAATGCATGTGAGGCGACATGACTTATTATGTAAATACGAATCAGTTCTTTCGGAGAAAAGAAATTCAACTGAATGCCGGCGTCAGTATTTTCTATATATATAATAATAATCGTAATGACAGGCATCGAAGTAGGCTAAATAATCTTTCGATAGTTATAATTTTCGATTTTGTTTACCAATATGACGAGAATAATCGTCTTTGCGTAGATAATTTCTACTGCGTATTTCTTGGCTTTGTTATAATGAGACATCTGCAGTTTTTTAATTGTACATAACAGTCTAGGCATGAACAAGGCTGAAATTCAATCGATTTTTAGCATCGAGCATGACATTATCATCGTTTTTTAATAATAATAAGTGTTTGGGAAGATTGTGCATAGACATACTGAATATTTATTCGGGAAAAAGTGAAAGTGCACAGATGAAATACCATCATTACAAAAATTAAGCTTACAAAAAACAAAAGAAGACGAAAAAGGTTTCATTCACCAAAAAAATAGATAAGTTCTTTTCTTATTAGTTCTATACTTAAATTGAAACAATATTATTACACGAGGACTAACAAAAAACTGTTTCGTTAAATTCAGAATAAAGTTATTAGGTTCCAACACGCAGAAAAACACTGATAAGAGTAAAAGCAGAAAAATACGTTTAACTAAATAAAGAGATAAAACGAATCACATGTAAACACGATTAAGTCTACATATACTCGAACCTACGTGCTTAAGGTCCATGCTTGAGGGCCATTGTATACTTTCTCAACTTCCAGATACTATCAACTCCTACGCCTTAATATCTTCAAATAAGTATTACAAAACTTCACATGAATTTCTTTCTTCAATTGATTTCCAACCAGCAGGAATTTTCGTATCTACATGATGAACTTCTTTGGAAAATAATTGTTGCAGTTTACGAACTAATTTCTCCCTACATTTCGGAATCATTACATGTGTAACCCGTTCTCTCTCATGAATCCACAACGAATTTCCAATGATAGCGACCGCAGCTCCGCCAACGATACACCCATGAACAGCAGGTCTCAGAAATACACGATCTCCTGTCTGTATTAGAATCTTTACGAGCTTGCCAGGTAATAGTAGTTCCGAGTCTATACCAATTTTACTAACAATCCGCTCCTCAGTAGTTTCCATATCATTATCGTCGAACACGTCCAACGCACAAATCTCGCAAAGCAACCTGATCATCTCGTATTCCGACATGTTCTTAGCCTGCTTCCAAGTCAGTGCCAAGCCAGAAGCCAAACCACCAATAATTTCCCTCGTGGTCGCTTTTTCATCTAAACGATTCAGTGCAATACATGCACTACGTCTTACGAACAAATTCCTGTCCGAAAGTGCCTTGAGAAGTGCGTCAATCACTTCTTTCGTGGCGGCTTTTTCACCTATTTGACCGAATGCCTCGCATGCTCTTTGCCTTACCAGATGATCGCTGTGCGAAAGCGCCTTGAGAAGTGCGTCAATCACTTCTTTCGTGACTGCTGTTTGACCCATTCGACCAAATGCCTCGCATGCATTTTGTCTTACCAAATAATCTCTGTCCGAAAGCGCCTTGAGAAGTGCGCCGATCACTTTGTTCGTGACTGCTGTTTCACCCATTCGACCAAATGCCTCGCATGCATTTTGTCTTACCAAATGACCGCTGTCCGAAAGTGCCTTGAGAAGTGCATCGATCACTTCTTTCGTGGCTGCTGTTTCACCTATTTGACCGAATGCCTCGCATGCATTTTGTCTTAACAAATAATCGCTGTCCGAAAGCGCCTTGAGAAGTGCGCCGATCACTTCGTTCGTGGCTGCTTTTTTACCCATTTGACCGGATGTCTCGCATGCACTTCGTCGTACCCGATGATCGCTGTCTGAAAGTGCCTTGAGAAGTGCGTCGATCACTTCTTTTGTGGCTGCTTTTTCGCCTATTCGACCGAATGCCTCGCATGCACTTTGTCTTACCAAATGATCGCTGTCCGAAAGTGCCTTGAGAAGTGCATCGATCACTTCTTTCGTGGCGGCTTTTTCACCTATCCGACCGAATGCCTCGCATGCACTTTGTCTTACCCAATGATCGCTGTGCGAAAGTGCCTTGAGAAGTGCGTCGATCACTTCCTTCGTCGCGGCTTTTGCAGTCATTCGACGGATTCCGACGGATGCATGCCGTCTTATGACAGAGTCGTCGTCCGAAAGTGCCTTGAGAAGTGCATCGATCACTTCTTTCGTGGCTGCTTTTTCACCTATTCGACCGAGTGCCTCGCATGCACTTCGTCGTACCCGATGATCGCTGTCCGAAAGTGCCTTGAGAAGTGCGTCGATCACTTCCTTCGTCGCGGCTTTTGCAGTCATTCGACGGATTCCAACGGATGCATGCCGTCTTATGTCAGAGTCGTCGTCCGAAAGTGCCTTGAGAAGTGCGTCGATCACTTCTTTCGTGGCTGCTTTTTCACCTATTCGACCGAATGCCTCGCATACACTTTGTCTTACCCGAGGATCGCTGTCCGAAAGTGCCTTGAGAAGTGCGTCGATCACTTCTTTTGTGGCGGCTTTTTCACCTATTCGACCGAATGCCTCGCATACACGTTGTCCTACCCGAGGATCGCTGTCCGAAAGTGCCTTGAGAAGTGCGTCAATCACTTCTTTTGTGGCGGCTTTTTCCCCTATTCGACCGAATGCCTCGCATGCACTTTGTCCTACCCGATGATCGCTGTGCGAAAGTGCCTTGAGAAGTGCGTCAATCACTTCTTTCGTGACTGCTTTTTCACCTATTCGACCGAATGCCTCGCATACACTTTGTCTTACCCTCAGATCGCTGTCCGAAAGTGCCTTGAGAAGTGCGTCGATCACTTCTTTCGTGGCGGCTTTTGCACCCACTCGAGCGAGTGCCTCGCTTGCAGCCCATCTTATGTCAGAATCGTGGTCCGAAAGTGCCTTGAGGAGTACATCGATCACATCCTTCGTCGCTGGTATTTCAATCATTGCACGGACTGCACTCAATGCACACCATCTTATGTCAGGGTTTTGGTGCGAAAGTGCCTTGATATGGGTGACGATCACTTCTTTCGTCGCTGCGTCTCGATCGATAGAGGTAAGTGCTTTGAATGCTTCTTGTTTTACTTGGTAGTCTTGATGCTGTGTTTTCTGTAGCACTGTGCGCTTTAGCGAATTGGTAGGATTGTTTAGTGGAATTGATGATATAAATTGCAGTGTTCTAAAAATGGTAGTGGTTTGGTTATCGTCCAATAATCGTACGAGTGCCTGGTGAATATGCGTTGTATTGCAGATTGTGTTACATGCTCTCAGAATGTTTGTCACAAACGGAAGTAAATACTGGGATTTATGTGTTATAGCGATTTCTATCCATCGCGCTGTCAGTTGGAATAATTCTTGGGCTTTAGTGAATGTTGTGTTGCTGTTAATCTCATCGAGACAGCGAATAACAAGAGCCATGTGTTGCATACGGGTAATATCTAATGGTTCGTTCAATATTGCGTCCCAGAAAATGTTGTTACGTTCAGAATCTGGTGTTTCGTTTAGTAACCCGGCTAGAAATGCAAAGAGTAACTGATATCTTTGATTGTATTTGTGCTGCTGAATAAATTCAATTGCTTTATTGCATGCGGCACCGGACAGAGCGCTTGCTAAGTAACGAGCTGCAAAGTATTCTTGAAAGCTGAGATGGACAAAGTAATAGTGCTTGTCTATTTCAAGTCGTGTGCCAGTGCTGTCTGCATCCGAAGTTAATGACTTCAGTATTCCAAGATTAAGTAAATGTCGATGACCAGATAACTCACAATTACTTTCTTCTTCAGCCTTTTCTAGTAATTCTGGACTCAGAAGAATAGAAGCGTTTTTCATGCCGTGGAAAGCGAGACTTTCTAAGAATGCCAATTCATTTTGACATTGTTCATATATTTTCTTTTTATGCATCCGATTGGTTTGGCTGGTCGAGAGTCCTTTTTGCTTCTCTAGGTATCGACGGCAGATCCACTCAGTTAATTTATCATACAATACTGTCAAGGTGACTGTTTTGGTTTTCGTCCAATTGAAATTACTCCAAACGCTACAAATCAACTCGAGGTTAATTGGAATATGTGCAATACCCCAAATCTTAGGATTCAACTGAAGAAAAACGAGTAAGCTCTCATCTTCGCGCGATGAGCTTCCTAACTGATTGAAGAACAGCTTAATATAGTTGGAAATGTTTTCATCTGTAAACCCTGTAATTTCCATATTTACGGAATACGACAATGTATTCATGTATGGACGAGAGGTGATGATGTGATGCGGAGTTTTGAGCAGCTGTTCGAGTAAGATTTGGAGATGTCGAAGTGGATCTTGTGCTATTTCATCATAACCATCCAATAGCCACAGAATTTTACTTCTACGAATATGTTCAACAAGCTTTTCTACAAGCTTATTCTTTTGTTCATCTGACCGGTATGGATCAAAGAAATAGTGATTTATCAAAATGTCTACGAGATTATAATCTTTGTCTTCTCGATATTTCGGTCCTGTTAGAGATCGTAAAGGAATGAGCACAACTAATTCATATTCTGACCATATTGCACCAGTTGCCCATTGATAAGCAGCATATCGACAAAACATTGATTTTCCAATACCAGCTCGACCAAAAACTAAAATATTTCTGTTTTGATCTTTGCATTTCGTGAAAATATCTTTGACATCAATTGGAGATTTACTTCCATAAATTTGCTCGAATGCACCCATAACTGCATCAATACTCTGAGCATTATCGAGCTTCTTTTCTTTTTCTTGAGTTTCTTTCGTTTCTACTATAGCCAAATTGATATAACTCTGCTCGATTGAAAACGTTTTCGACGGATCCATGAAGCGTTCTATTTTGTTGTCACATAGATATTTGTATTTAATTAATTCGAAAAGATAATTTGGCGGACCAACTGATTCTGTTGAGATGTGCTTCGATGAAAACCGTTTTTGGTTCAAATCATTGATCAAATCTTCTAAATACATGTTGTCCCTATCCTGAATATCATTGATATTATAACAGTGAAGCGATCCAACCACTTTCAGTACAAGTTTACAAACTGGTGACCTTTCATAATCTGGCGTTAAAAAACAAAAAAGTGCTGTAGCGTTCTCTACTCCATTAGCCAAACTAAAAGAATAGTGCAGTTGAAAGAAAGAATGTAGAGAGACAGAATATATAATTTGAAACACGTATACCTATCGTGTAGACTATCTGCGGTGACATTTTCTGATTGGTTGATCCAAACTGGCATCTCTTGATTTCGTAAAAACTCGTAAATTTGAAATACGATTTCTTTATCATTGATATTATAAGATAACATGATGTGTTGTCCAGTAGGAATCACAGTACTAAAAGATGAAAATTAAACGCTTCTAAATAATAAAATTGGAACAAATATAGCTATAAAACAATGCTTTTTCATATCTACATTCACTGATAAGATACTTTGTAGAAAACATTCGACATACAGATGAATTTATTTTATACGTTCAACTTATTATATATTTTGCATCGATATGTATTTACTGAGATATTTTCTTCAGATCGTCTATTCGAACATCCGTATTTAAATGTAAATACATGGAACATAACCTCTTCTTTTTACGAGACATTATCTTAGGTGTTTGAATTATTTGATCTTCGGAATATCTGTCTTGATTAGAAGTAAAATATAGTGCCAGTAGACTCACCATTCTTCCAAAACAATCGTGGAAAGATCAGAAGACCATGCAGATTTGACACGCAAGCGAGTACNTTTGGCCAATGTTTAAATGAATATTCAATGATGCTGTCAGCAGCGACATCGTTTGTGTTTTCAAAAGAGAGATTTCATTGGCTGCTTGTTTTTGGTAGTAGAGATTGCGGTTCTTTTCAAGGGAATCCCCCAATTGATCATTTACGCCGAGTAGAGAAAGCTGTTTTGGATTATTCCATTCTGATTCAAGATCTGTATCGTAATCTTGAGGAAAAGCATTCGCTCGAGATGAATCGAGATCAAGTACAGTTGTCCGTTGTTGTAGTGGACCATTGACAGCCTCAAAGGGGAGTTAGATGAGTGATTTTATGGTCGAAGAGAATTATCTTACATTGAGAGCATTGCTAGCACATTGTGCAATGAGCGTGGTTGACGCCTGCACATCTTCGAAGGGAATTTTCATTGCCAAAGAACGTAAAGTGACTGCAAGTTGATAACATTTTTGTGCTGCAATCGTCTACAGATCGAGAATGTCAGTTGAGAAAAGAGTAGAGAGAATGTTACCGCAGTGGATCGCGTGAGTTGATTGGTTGCTTGAGTGAGTTGAGCTAGGGATGATGCTTGTAGTTGGATAGCAGGTGCCGTTGCTGGTTGCAGATTAGTTGTGAACGTGATTAGTAAGTCTCGGACACTTGCATATGTGTTGAGTTGTTTGTTGAACTCGTTGAGTGCCGATGTATTTATTCCGGATGATGACTGCAAAGGGAGAATGATCTTTTCCTTGCTATGAAAGACCAACACTTACTGTTGGTTGACTGGTACTATCTAAGGTTGAAACAGCAATGTTAGATGCAGGAACACCATCTAAAAACAAGTCTCTTTGATTTTGTACCCGTCCTTCTACATTTATTCAAAGCTCACTTGCAACAGCATTTTCTACAGTTTCGCCGTTGATTCTGTTGAATTCCTGTGATAATGAACTAATCACTTGGCCCACAGTATTTTGATTACCACTTGCTAGAATTTGAACGATTGGATTGTTTGTCAGTCCACGTGTGTTACTTGATTGTTGCGCACTATTGACAAAATCAGCGATCTGTGTAGTATCGGAGTCAACTGTGACTGTTGACATGTTGTAGTCTGTGACACAACTCATTCTATCTCGAATTTGAACGGAAATACGGAGAAATGATGAAATATTATTATTGACAGCTGGCAATCTTAATTGANAGATCATCGAAACGTCGATTCTTCTTTTATTTTATTTCAATAAACATAATTTCGTTATGTTATTTCAAGTCGCTGTTATTTACACATTTCTTTTGAAATTATTGCCTTTATCAACTTCTAAAGTTGTAAGGTTCAAACACGCAGAAAACCACTGATAAGAGTAAAAACAGAAAAATACGTTTAACTAATTAAAGAGATAAAACGAATCACATGTAAACACGATTAAGTCTACATATACTCAAAGCTACGGACTTTAGGTACATACTTAGGGGCTCGTGCATACTCTCTAAACTTTCAGATACTATCAACTCCTACATATTAATATCTTCAAAAAAGAATTATAAAACTTCACCTAATTCTGTTTCTTCAGTTCATTTACAATCTATATTAAGCTTCAAATCAACATCACCAACTACTTCGCTGAATAATTGGCGGAGTTCATGGACTGATTCCTCCTTACCTTTCGGAATCAATACCTGTGTAACTCGTTCTCTCTCATGAATCCACAACGAATTTTTAGCGATAGAGACTGCAGCTCCACCAATGATACATCCATGGACAGCAGGTCTGAGAAATACACGATCTTCTGTCTGTATTAGAATCTTTACGAGCTTGCCAGGTAATACTAATTCCGAGTCTATATAACTTTTACTAACAATCCGCTCCTCAGTAGTTTCCATATCATTATCGTCGAACACAGCCAAGGCACAAATCGCACAAAGCCACCTTCTCATTTTATCTACGGACAAGTTCTTAGTATCCTTCCAAGTCTGTCCCAAGCCAGCAACCATACCATCGATAATTCCCTTCCTGGTCACTTTTTCACCCACACGATTCAGTGCCTCGCATGCATGGCATCTTACGTCGGAATCGTCTTCCGCAAGTGCCTTGACAAGTGCATCAATCACTTCCTTCGTCGCTGCCTTTTCACCAATTCGACCGAGTGCCTCGCATGCATGGCATCTTACGTCGGAATCCTCGTCCGAAAGTGCCTTGACAAGTGCATCAATCACTTTCTTCGTCGCTCCTTTTGAACCGATTCGACCGAGTGACTCACATCCATGGCATCTTACCACCCAATTGTCGTCCGCAAGTGCTTTGACAAGTGCATCGATCACTTCCTCCGTCGCTGCTTTTGAATCGATTCGACCGAGTGACTCACATCCATGCAATCTTACGCTAGAATCGTCGTCCGAAAGTGCTCTGACAAGTGCATCGATCACGTTCTTCGTTGCTGCTTTTTCACCCATGCTACCGATTGCCTCGCATGCATGCCGTCTTACGATAGAATCGTCGTCCGAAAGTGCCTTGACAACTGCCTCGGTCAGTTCGTTGGTAGCTACCTTTTCACCAATTCCACGGAGTGCCGCGCATGCACACCGTCTTACGCAGCAATCCTCGACCGAAAGTGCCTTGACAAGAGCATCAATCACTTCCTCCGTCGCTGCCTTTTCACCAATTCGGCGGAGTGCCTCGCATGCATGCCATTTCACGCCAGAAACGTCGTTCGAAAGTGCCTTGACAAGTGCCACGGTCACTTCATTGGTAGCTGCCCTTTCACCAATTTGACCGAGTGCCTCGCATGCATGCGATCTTACGCACGAATTTTGGTCCAAAAGTGCCTTGACAAGTGCCTCGGTCAGTTCGTTGGTAGCTACCTTTTCACCAATTCCACCGAGTGCCTCGCATGCATACCGTCTTACGTCGGAATCGTCGTCCGAAAGTAGCTTGACAAGAGCATCAATCACTTCCTTCGTCGCTGCCTTTTCACCAATTCGACGGAGTACCTCGCATGCGTCCCGTCTTACGCCAGAATCGTCGTCCGAAAGTGCCTTGACAAGAGCATCAATCACTTTCTTCGACGATGCCTTTTCACCAATTCCACGGAGTACCTCGCATGCGTCCCGTCTTACGCCAGAATCGTCGTCCGAAAGTGCCTTGACAAGAGCATCAATCACTTTCTTCGACGATGCCTTTTCACCAATTCCACGGAGTGCCGCGCATGCATGCCATCTCACGCCAGAATCGTGGTCCGAAAGTGCCTTGAGAAGTACCTCGGTCACTTCGTTGGTAGCTGCCTTTTCACCAATTCCACGGAGTGCCTCGCATGCATACGATCTCACGCCAGAATCGTGGTCCGAAAGTGCCTTGAGAAGTACCTCGGTCACTTCGTTGGTAGCTGCCTTTTCACCAATTCCACGGAGTGCCTCGCATG